GGTCATGATCCCAGGGTCCTGAGATCAAGTCCTGCATCGGGCTTCCTGCTCGGCAGGGAGCCTGCTTCTCCCTCTCCCTCTGCTGCTCCCCCTGCTTGTGCTCTCTCGCTCTCTGTCAAATAAATAAAACAAAATCTTAAAAAAAAAAAAAAAAAGACTCAAAAGTACAGAGAGACAACAGGAAACTTAGATTAAAAAAGAAAATTTCCCTAAGAATTTGAAACTTTGGGTTGTGTGAAGTCTGAATTTATTCTACTTGTATGGAGTTTATTCTTCCCATGTGGTCCTAGAATCTGCAGCAGAGAAATTAACTTAAAATATAGTTTCAGACTTAGTAGAAACAAAGACAATCTTCCCTCTCTCCCTTGGGAGGAGTACTAATTATCTCATTTAATTTTCACAACTATCCTATGGAATAAGTAATATTATCCCAGTTTATTAAAGGCATTTAAATTCAGGGAGGCTAAGCAGCCTGTCCAAAGTCACCTAGCTATTATCTAACAGAGCTGGGATTTGAATCTGGTTGTTGTTCATTCAATCAAAATACATTTACCAAGTTCTACTATGTGCCAAGCAGAAACAAGGTCCATCTCCTTTCCAATATATCACATTGCCTAATCTTTTTTGAGCAAATCAATAGATAAATACAACTATTTTCTTCTTTCTCAACTTTAGCAATTCAGTGAGAATGAAGGCAGCCAGTATCACAGGAAACCCACGGGATTCCCCTGGGCTCTGTCTGCCAGAGCAGCTCAGTCCTCTCTGCCAAAGGGACTTAGGTTGCTGAGACACTAAACAGGGAAGAAAAAGAGCAACTACCACTCAGTGGGTCCTGGTTACTGGAATTCATTTTATTAGAGTAAACATACAACAATTTTAGTTTCTAGTAAGTATTTTCAAACAGAAATTTCAAAATATTTACTACTAAGGTTAAATAGGGATAATAAGGCTGTTGTGATAAACACAAACATATGAAATTAAAAGTTAGTGATAACAGCTATAGTTCTATCAGGCTCAACCTCCAACATATTTCTGAATGTTATTTAGGTTGCCAAGCATTGAGAAAATCCTGATTTACAAACATAAGTAGCTGCAACTATTGGTGTTTTTTTTTTAATTAACATGCATTCTTAAAAGCTTAAGTTAACACATTGTTTACCTTATGTGTATAAAAATAGTTCTAAATATTTTTAAATATTTATAAAAATAGTTCTTTATAAAAATAGTTCTAAAAATTTTTCAAAATCAAATCACATACTTGAGGAATTTCTGAAGCACCACTCTAGTGTTCTTATAGAACAAAGTATGGAAAAATCAGAAAAAAAAAAAAAAAGTTCTCTGAGATCCCTCCATTTCAGTCTAGGAAATTATATAGAATACACAGTAAAGTGCAAAGTTATAAGAAGGAACCAGTACATTCTATTCACTGCCAATGGCTCTCTTCTGGGGCAAAACCCTCTACATCCCCACCTCCAATCCTGCCATCAAGACCATTATTCACCTACTTTTTGAGCATCATTTCCCACTTTTCCCCTCTTCTTTTTTTTTTTTTAAATAAAGATCTTATTTTTAAAAAAGATTTATTTGAGAGAGAAAGAGAGCACATGTGCGAGCAAGCATGGGGGGGTGGCAGAGGGAGAGGGAGTGAGAATCCAAGTAGACTGTGCCTAGTGCAGAGCCCGATGTGGGGCTCAATTTCATGACCCCAAGATCACGACCTGAGCCAAAACCAAGAGTCCGGAGCTCAACCCAGGCTCCCCAAGATTTTATTTTATTTTTTATTTTTTTTAATTTA